CCTTCTCATTTTGGTCAGGTTAAATCCTGCCTCAGCAATAAAGAGAGTACACATTGCAAGAAGAGAAGACTCAAATAAATGCTTCACACAAAATGAGTGTGAACTCATACTTGTACATATTCCTGCTGCTGGTCTTTGACTGTGTCAGAATTTCTTTTGAAGGGAACACGGTATGCCTGGTGGTCTTCAATCACTCGTTGCTGAATATCTCGGAGGCGGGTAATATTGTTGGCAATAACCATATTCACAATCTCCCTCTCCTCCTCCTCTACCAGGTGGTCGTCACTCAGTCCTACAAAAAGAAAAGTACTGATGTAACTGTACATATGTACTGATGTACTGATGTAACTTGTAGCCCAGCCTCCCTCATTGACAATCCATGGACAAGGACACGGTCAACAAGAGCCGCACGAATTTCATCTGACTCTACTTGTCTCCTTGGTCTCTCCCTTCCTCCCCGTCCTCATCCTTGCCCTCGTCCTCCTCTTACTTAAAGTCTTTCTGGATCCATTTTTCCAAAACTAAGTGACCTGACCCAAGGCTCTTTTATCTAACTATTGAAGGTTCTGATTGGTGAGAACAATTTTGACTATAAACAAACTATAAATAAACTATTCTGTTCTATAGTACTTAAATCTGCAATGTAATGCCCCTTTGGGAATTGATTTACAAAAAATATCTTCACATGGGGACACACTGAGTTGTCTCCATGGTGTCAGGTATTATAAACCAGTTCCAGATAAAGACTTTAGTGTAATGTTTTTAGTAACTTTATCCATTTAGTTTAAGTTAATCATTTAGACCGCATCATCATTAAGATGACTTGTTAAACTGATAACGTAGGTGCAGCTCAGGCTTAGAGAGGCCATATGTAAACAGGGGGGGAACAGGCACCCCCAGGGACAAGGCAGTAGACAAGCCAAAGAACAGAAGTGGTCATGCAGCAGACTGGACGAGAATATGGCCAGGTTTGAATTTCTTGGAATTTAAAGCAATGAAGAAAAGTTGTTAATTCTTTCTTATATTTTTGAATAATATCCAAAGTAGGTCCGTTTATCGTGATTGTCCTCCAGAAGCCGTGTTTGATATGTTTCCCCTTTTCCAGAGCTTTTCCTGGTCTCTTTAAGAAGAAAAACTATATCAAACCTTGAAAAATGAAGTCCAAACTTATCCATTTTTTTCTTTGGACAAAATGACTGAACGTACCCCCAAGACAGGTGAAGAGATGGCACTTCTCCAGGCTGGGCTGGGTCAGAGGACCATTAATATTCCAGAAGATGCTGACCACTCTGAAGCAAGTCTAAAATTTGATTTTCATAGATATATTTCCCTGTTAGTATTCTTAGAATTTCCCTTATTTTTGTCATCACTTATGTGAAAATAGGCACTAGGTTATTTCCTTTGTACTGAAATGATCTCAAAAGTTCTCTAGCCACATCTTTTTATATCAAACTTAACTTGTCTTCACATTCAGCACCCCTCATAGGATCCTTCCCAGAAATGGCAGCTCTGGATGGGGCCTGGTTGCTGTACAAAGCAGCTGGTAAGAAATTGATTTTGCAGTGTGAATTTGCAGTGTGAATTTGCAGTGTGAAGAAGCTATTTTCTTCTTGTTCCGTCAAGATCTGGACTTAGCAGATTCCTTTGTTTCAGCAAAATGACAGAATTTCAGCATATGCAAATCAGCTCCAGAATTATTTGCACCCCTGACTTTGACCGTGAAGGAATGTGATTGGGAAGAGGGGGCTGACATTACCATGTGTGCAGCCATATCTAATGACGTACTGCATTCCTGCTAAGTCATAGAGTGGTTTACTGCCCATCCCAGGATGATGTCATTATTCTTGCCACCATACTCTCCAATCCTCAGCCCCATTGAAGAAGTTTTTTCTGCATGGAGATGGAAGGTATATGACCATCGGTCACATGATCAGTTGTCACTTTTAGAAGCAATGGCTACTAGGTGTATGGACATCCAGAGCTGGATAAGGCACTCAAAGAGATTTTTTCTTCGGTGTATTGCAAGAAAAAATATTCGGTGTGATGTTGATGAAAATCAAATGGATTAGGCCAGGTCAACAGTATATTTGACTGTATAAAGTGAAAGTTTGCTATTTGGCATTTTTTGCTTTTTGTTTTTTGTTTGTATTGAATGTAATGTACTTACAGTAGGTGGTTGTAATGAATTTTTCATTTCCAGTAAATTGCGCCACTGAATTTATTTACTGCATTTGTTTGCATTACAATGTTTACTGTAAGAAATGTCATGTTTTTCCTTCATTTTGCAATAAACACTGTGTGCAACAACACATAATATATATGCATTTTGCAGTGCTTCAAGTTGTTTGTGTTTTTTCATTCATTGTACTTTGTGTGACAAAGTCGTCTTGTGAGAGAGTGCATGTGCTATAGTTATATGGCAGCATGAGACCCTTTTGGGTGAAGTACGAAGTATTTTGCTGGTTTTAGTGCACTTTGCACCAAAAGTTAACTGATATGCTCAGGTGCCTGTTTGTAAAGTTCAAAGTGTGACGTATTTTGAAAACGTGAACATGGTACTGAGACAAGTGTGAAAATGATTGTAAAAAAACTGTAATAGCAGCCCTATGTTCCTGAACCACTTCACACAATATATGCCGGAGTATGCAGTCATAGGCTTTCTGCAGGTCCAGAAAACTCACGCAGACTGTTAGCAGATTCCCACAAAGTGTGTAGGAGAAGCAACTGTTGTTGTGTCCATCTGAATCTGAAGTCTGACCCTCGTTTGGAGCACAGAAAGCATCCAGTATACTGTATAGTTCCTTCCCCCTAAGTGCTCTAAAGGGAAACAGCGAATCCTGCAGGTTTTTGTGAAACTGCACAGTACAACCACATCCCCCAAAATGACAATCTGCCTTGTGAAATGTCAAAATGAAAACCTTATGCATTATAAATGTTCTCCATTAGGTGGTTTAATGTGTGTATAGCATTGTAGACATCATATCTAACTAAAGCAATATAAAATCCAAGACCAGCGTCTTCTTCATCACAGTTAAGTTGCTGGTCTTGGTTTGGGGCCTTTTCTGCCATATTGTAAGTCTCTGTGCAATGGAATATTCACAGATTTGTGTGCAGAAGTATACCCCAAGTAATTTCTTTATACATTATATTTCATTTATAATCATAAATTTCCATTTCAATAAAAAAAATCCATAAAAATAAAACTAAAAATAACTTCTTGCATTATTATCTATTTATCTATTGTACATCATTAGAAACTAATGAAACAACTGAAAGTATATGGAACCATTTACATCACTGTACATTTGTGTGTTTCACTAAAGCATCCTTCTTTTTGTTCAGTAATAAACATTTCTTCATTATTTCTGCTCGCGTCTCTGGATTAATGCATGTCCTGATTCTTCTTCTTGTGGTTATGCTGTAATGAAATCAGGTGAAAGACATAGACATGAATTTAGCGATAATCCACAGCAGAAAGAGCAGGATTATGTTCTGTGAGTAATACAGTACATCTTTACATCAATTTCCTCCAGCCGCATGGAGCATTTCTGACTTGCACAGCCAATTCCCAGCATGAGTTTTATGATATTGTGAAATCCTGACCTTCTCATGGTATCAGTGACACATGGTGCAGTGAGAGGCAGTTTAAAAGACAGTCAGAATCCTGAGAGATGCTCTTTAAATGACGACATTATGATGTCAGAATAAATCAAGCCACTGCTTTAGCTGAGGACGACCAGGAATATAACTGGCTGATATTTGTACATTATTACTTCTGGGGTCATTTGAAATTTTAATGGAAATTTCTTAAGATGCATGTCAAATATATTTTTTGATTGAAATACTACCAGTTAAGAAGTAATTGTGAAGTAAAACTTGTAACCATAGTAAGCATTATGTTATTACTAAGCCAATNTCTTTTATACATTAAATTTTATTTATAACAATAAATTTCCATTTCAAGCAAAAAAAAATGATAAAATAACTTTACTTGCATATATTTTTTCCATCCCATAATACTTCTTATTATCTATTTAGCATCATTAGAAACTGACAAACAAATGAAAGCATACAGAACAATTTCCATCACTGTGCATGTGTGTGTTTCATTTAAGCATCCTTCTTATCATCCAGTGATGAACATTTCTTCATTATTTTTTCTTGCTTCTCTGGGTTAATGCAGACCTTGTGTCCTTTTCTTGTGGTTATGCTGGAATGAAATCAGGTGAAAGACATAGACATGAAATTAGCAATAATCCACAGCAGAAAGAGCAGGATTATGTTCTGTGAGTAATACAGTACATCTTTACATCAATTTTCTCCAGCCGCATGGAGCATTTCTGACTTGCACAGCCAATTCGCAGCATGAATTTTATGATATTGTGAAATCCTGACCTTCTCATGGTATCAGTGACACATGGTGCAGTGAGAGGCAGTTTAAATGACAGTCAGAATTCTGTGAGATGCTCTTTAAATGACGACATTATGATGTCAGAATAAAGTTACAGAAAATCAAGCCACTGTCTTGGCTGAGGACAACCAGGAATATAACTGGCTGATATTTGTAACTTAATAGTTCTGGGGTGATTTGAAATTCAAATTGAAATTTCTTAAGATGCATATGAAATATATTTCTTGATTGTAACACTACCAGCTAAGAAATAATTGTGAAGTAAAACTTGTAACCATAGTAAGCATTATGTTATTATTAAGCCAATTAATGTTACTGTAACTGAGCAATAACCACTTACATTACAGCATCCAAGCCGCCGCATCTGTTATCTGATACTTCACAGGATGTCACTGCTGCTGCTGGAACTCGCCCTTCGTAGTATATTTTGCAGCATTTACTTGGTAGATTGTTGTCACTGTCTGTAAATCAAAACATGTACATTTATTTAGCGCTTTTATCCAAAGCAGCATATAACTGAGAAAGCAGGTCAGCCAGTCCCTGGGCAGTTGGGGGTTAAGTGTCTCGCTCAAGGGCACAAAGGCAAAATGACCCTGCTGATCACAGGCTGTGAATCGGTGAACGTCTGACCACAGACACGGCGTCCTGACCCTCTGAGCCACACACTGCCCCATAATACAATCATATTTTTATAAATAAATTTGAAATATTATTTCAAAATATGTTTTTTCTACTGCAAAATCTACAGTCTGCATGTCAGCACTGAAGAGAGAGAGAGAACTAAACTGAGCAGGTATGAAATAAAACCGACTTACTGTTAGAGAAGCTCAGGGAGACCAGAGCTCCAAGTAGAAGAAGGACGATGCAGGTGAGTTTCATCTTCTCAGATGGGCTGGTAAGCAGAGGACCGCAGCTGTTCTGAGTGACACCACGGTTCCTCGTCTTTTATGCTCCCTTCAGCCCTGTGTGGGATGGCTGGTCCACGTGTGCCCTGGTGACACCTCATAGCGGGTAGGAAACCCCCCAAGGAAAGTCCTCATGTGAGTGTGGTCAGCTTTGCCGATGTGTCACTCATTCAAAATACCTCCTTCAGTTTACTTCTTTATAAATGTATCAGTCTGATAGGACCTCAGGTGTTTTTCCAGCCATGCATTTTGTCCAGTTACCCTCAACTTAAGCATGTAAATCAGTATATGGAAGGGTTCATAGGACAGGGCAAATACTCACAGTTTCATACTAATCATTTATTGACAATGATTCACCTTCACATCCTTGAATTAGAAACCTTGAAATTATACCAGGTGCAATCTCAAGTGAAAATGGGAAAAATAAAACACACAATCCCGATTCACTCAAAATCAAGTGAGCTTACAGTTTTTTCCAATCATATTAACGCGTGTCCCAATACCATGTCCACTTTTTCACAACACTTAACACATGCACCATACCATTGGACCATGTGAGCTAAACTATGTATACGTTTGCATTGCTTTGACACAATATGCATTCAATCACCACTTCCCCCAAATTTCATGAATACTTCTCTCAGTCAGTGTTCGCCACCAGCAAAACTTTACAGCCGATTTATCAGACGTGTAGATAATCTGTTCAAAACAGTTAACTTTCAGGTCAAAACCTAATGAAATTTAGAGCAGTCAATTGAA